GCCATCACCGCCCCATCTAGTGGCCGGAGCGCCCGGCGCCGGCAGCCGCTCCGCGGCCCCTGCAGGAGCCCTGCTGGATCCCCTCCTTGCCAAATGCTTAGGAGCCAAGCGTATCCTCTTTGCCTTCAGGGACCTGCGAAATTTACCTCCAGATTGTCCTTCTGCTCTGCCGTCCCTGCGCGCCCTCTGGACTCTCCCCTCTGCTGAAAATATGTGCCTGGGTGCGGACACGTTTTCTTTCACCCCGTCTCGGTGCTTTCTCTGTCAAGCCAATTTTAAAAGATCACTTTCTGCTTTCAAGTCCTTTCTTTGTTTACACCTCTGTGATGATGACCGTCAGCCCTAGTTTTCTTTCAACTATTATAAAGTTAAAAGGCCTGATGTTATTATTAGTTACATTCTCAATTTCTTGCTTCTCTTGGTTTGACAGCACTTTTAAATCTAACAACATCAAAGACATTTTACCTGGCCTAACCTTATACCATGGTTTCTCTTGTCCCTTGTTTAGACCTTAAGCTCTACAAGTCAAGGAGCAAGTCTTAGAGCTATATTTAACATTGTGCAAAAGTCTGGTGTTCTGCTTGTGCGTTGTGTAAGAAGCCTGCACCTGCAAAGATGGTTAAAAAGCCCAACAGATTCTTTCCATTCAGCCAGCCCATCTGCCTATTATATTTTTCATACCACACTCATCTCCATGGTATCTGAGCGCCTTTGGCTCATTTTCTCCTTTTATACTCAGGATCAAGGTGTCCCCATGTGAAAAAACAAGTCACAGTCAGGAAGAACAATTTAGGGAATCTTGTGGGTACTTAAGTAGCATACACGGCTCAACAGACTGGCCAGCCATTGTACAAAATAGCTGAAAAAAGCACCACAACAATGGTGAATGAAAATGCAATCATGCAACCATCTTCTTAGGTTTCACATGTCCACTTTTTCATATTTACAGAAGTCCAGACAATGAAGAAAATTATGATGACGTTGAATTTGTTTCACAGGGTAAGATGCTTACATTTTAATTAATGGCAGCTATATGAAGCTGTAAGCATATTGTATTTATAAGATAAGCAAAAGCATATTGTATTCATGAGTGACTTGTGTAACTAATTATGCTGGTTCTGCAGTTTTATGGGTGAAGAACGGTTGCCTCATAACACTAACTGTTCTATAATTAACATGACAGACTCTCAGGAACTGCTTTAAATACTTCCCCTCTCCCCCCTTTTTTGGTTAGAAATATGCTGGGACCGTAAATTACCAGATTTTCAAATCTGAACCAAAATGAATGCTGCTCTTTCAGAGTTGAAGTTGTGTGCTCTGGTGAAGCAGGCATTGTTTTATACTTGATAAAAAAAATTTGTTGACTGTGCTTTTAATGACGCTTTGTGGTCTTGCCTTCAGTAAGAGGCAGTGAGTCACTATGCTGTACCAGGAGCCGCCAGAGAAGCAGATTGTGGCACAAAGAATTTCAATCTGCCTGCTGATCTCTCCTCAAGAGGACTTGGTCTGTGCCAGGCGCAGTATGCATCATTTAGTGTGCTAGCCATCCCTGCTGTACAGCAATGTGGGCTGTGGAGCTGAAACTGAGCACAAGCTCTTTTCTTGCCTAACTACCTGCAGAGTAAGGAAGAAGCAAGAGATTCACAGAGTTTCTTCTCCTGCAGCCCAAGGTAGAGGCTGGCTTAGCAAAAGAGCCTTTGGCCTCATTATTCAGCTGTTGGGCTGGTGCAAGCAAGTTCTTTGAGGTCTGTTTGGATTTATTACGTTTTTAACAATTACTTTCTTGTATAAATAGGCATTTTTGTAAACAAATAGCATAGGTAAGTTCATCGATGTCACAAAAGAATCATTAAAACAAGTTTTCCACTTTTAAAAATGCATGGTGAAATATGCTATTTTGTAGATATTTCTAATTTACAGTGTACTACAAAAGCAACCTAGAAAAACATTGATTTTTGCATTCGTACCCTCACTAAAAGCCAGGAGCCTGCACATATTTCTAGTTAATATCACTATCATTAGCAGTTTGTAAATAGTTAACGCTAGAATGAATTGTTTTCCGTACAGCAAAAAATAAATACCCTGTTTTTACTTTTTGTCATATAGGTCATGGAAATACAGAGGGGGTAAGTGTTGTCCTCCATGATAAAACTATCCTTTCCAGCACAAACTTACAAATTTAGTAAAATCCCTTCAACACATTAGAAAATTAATTGCAGAATGAATCCAGTATATTGAGAGTAAATTGTAGAAGCACACACTTATTGTGAAGGACTGAAATAAAACCAGGTAAGCAGAGCAAACTGGAACTAATTATCAAAGCTGGCTAGACAGCAAAAATTGATTTAAAAAAAAGCAAAACCACCCCTTCTGTTTCCACTGACATTCCACTTCACTGAAATTTTCCAGAAACAAGGGCCCTGTTCTAGTCTAGTAATAAACCACTTGTTTCAGTTAAGCACAGGTTTGTATCATGTTTTTAAGTACCTGGCTGTATTAGGACTACAACAGTCTCTGGGACACGAATCTGAGTTCATTTAGATCCCCAGCATTCCAGTTTAACTACTGCTAACCCTGGCACCTTCATCATGGCACTGCAACCTTCAACACAGATAAAGGCTTTCTAGGACTAACATTGCAGTTAAAACATCCACTTTGGATTAAGCAATGTGCTAGTATGATTGTAACAATTCAGGACTTTATAGTTGTGGTATCATAAAAACAAAGTCAGAGAAAAAGAATAGTGGGTTTAAAAAATGTCGTAATTTGGTTTGGGAAGATTAAATGAATTTGTATTTACATTTTGCTATAAATGTTTTTATATAGTTTGTATGAAGCTTACATACCAGGTCCATTTTCTTCACGTCTTTCCAAATTGGAAAGGCCAATTGAAAACTGAATTTTTCTTATAGGGCCAAGAAAGTGATGGAGAGATGTATGAAGACATAAGTGACATCAGGTAGTAATTTTAAACTTCATAACCTGTTGTATCTTTATTACTAAAAGCTTGCTAACAAAGATACTTCACCTGGCACAAAAGTGTGATTCCACTGCAGTCCCTGCCAGGCATTATTGTGTTCATTCATTTCACCTAGAGAAACTCAGGTTGTTCACAGTTCTTTCCTACTTAGATCTGGTATGCCCTGGGCTGGAAAAACTCCTGCAATAAAACCATGTGGTTACTGTGATCTAGATAACAGGTCTGATTTCTGATCTAAGGAACATGTCTGAATCACTGTTTGGAATTACAGCCTAAGAGGAAAAAATAAGCTCAGCCTCTAGGTACTGTGGTCCCAGTTGTTGTGGTTGTTTTTCTTGCTTTCCAGGTAAATGCACTTAGAACTCCAATGAGAGACTGGATTTACAGTTCTCATGGCCTGAGTCCCCTAGCATAGCTACAGAGCCAGAATATGATCTCTGGTCATTCTTCTGCCATTTAGCCCTTTACTTTGAGGAGTCTCTTGCCCTGCTAATGTCTAAATGTATGGGATTCACTGTATGACAATAGCCAAAGAAAAGCTCTAATTCCCTTGGAATAAGTAACGGTCTAAAGTTCCTATAAAAAAAAAACTTTTTTCAGATGTAGAGTGACTTTCAGCAAAAATGTATTGTTGAATTCCCTTTGGAAACAGATAATTTTAAAACTATATAACCAAAACAAGTGATCCTCATTCAGTCTTTTTTTAATGTAATTTGAGTATATCAGTTTAGCAAAAGTACCAAAAAAGGAAGAGGAGAGAGCCCACTCAATCAGTTCCATAGGGTTTGTAAAGCACAGCTCTTCAGCCAAACCATTGGCAGCACATGGCAGAGCTGCAGCTATAGTCCTAATTATATCCTAGTGCCCAGATCTCAGTACCATCCAGTATATGAGGCACAGCAGGCAATGTACCCTGGCGTGATAGGCACATTTATGATGCAGTGCAGAAGACTGTCATTTTTGTAGACTGCTGGAACAGGTTGCAATTATGTTTAAAACCACAGTCCAGTGGTAGCTCAGGCTTCAGTTCATGCTGCATCAACCACTGATGGCCTGGATAAATATTTAACAGCTGCAGCCAGTGCCAGAACACCTAGACTGCTACCAGCTTCCAAGCTTGCTTGCCAAAATTAGCTCAGAGGTGTTTGGACATGCACATGTAGAGCCAGTCTCTTACCTCCAGATAACCATTTCCGGCATACTGTCCTCTTGAGGACAGCCACTTTAAATTATATATGTAATATAAGAGAAAGGGCTGCTTACTTTATCTGTTCAGCCACACTAGGGTTTAGATTCTGTAGCATTGATTTCACTGGGAGAAGTCATTTTCCGTCACATGTAGTTCTTTGTTAACCTTGGGTAAGAAAGCTCCAGTGAGATTTGCTTCACTGCTACACTGAGTCCTGGCAATGCACTTTCAGATCATCAAGGGGAAAAGAGAAAAAGCGGGACAAGGAAGAAAAGAGAAGAATGGACCAAGAGAAGAAAGAACAAAAGGAAAAAGAGAAGAAAGAGCAGGAAATAAGGAAGAAGTTCAAAGTAAGCTTTTTGTTTTGTGATCTGGCCAAAGACATGTAAGAAGCATTATGTAGCATTGTTGAGTTCAAAATACACTTTTCAGCTGGCTACAGAACTGTTTGTTATGGTAGGTAGTTCAAGCACCTGCACAAATTCTGAATAAAGGTTTAAGCTGCCCTTTTATGTTTTGCATATGCTTGACTTCAGGCTCTGTACTGAGGGCAAAGACATTTTTTCAGTGCTTACAGTTTTCGTTAAATTCCCTTCTCATGTTCTTTCTATGTAAAAAAGCCTTAAAAACATTTCCTTTCACTTTTCTGTTTAAAAAGCATTTACATCACTAGAATAGCATCAAAAGTCCTTAATAAAAGTGGGAATTGGATCCCATATACCTAGTGGTTTTTGCTCCACCACAGGCAGATACAACAGTATCCAATCCTTAAGAGTTTTCAACATTATATAGCAACACATTGCCCTTGCCTTCGTCTAAAGAGACCTAAAGAGACTTCCAGCCTAAACAGGGAGGAAGGGAATAAGGCACGTGTAGGGGAGCTACGGTCACTGTCAAATCCTAGGGGCTAAATGATGAGACAGTTCTTTCTGTTTTATATCATTTTTATATAGCTGGTGGTCAGCATGCTCCCACAGTTTACAAATCTGCCAGTCATTTTCTGTTAACTAATGCCTGTTCACAATGCTCCACTGTGCTTCTTTCAGTGTCATTGTACATAGTGGGCAGCTTTGTTTTTCTTCCTATTGTGGTCTGTACGCAGTAAAGCCACAGTGATTCTCTCACATCATGGCCTTGGTCTGCTGTGGAGAGACTGACATGAGTTGAGGAGCAAATATTAAAGGAAGATACCAATAGTTAACAATAGTGGGTTAGCTGGTGTTTGTCAGGCCCCAAGTCTATTTTTCAGACAACTCCTGTGAAGTGTAGGCGTTAGTGCACTGCATGCTTTCAGACTGCAGACTGCTCTCTTGCAGCCATTAAAGTATGTTATTATTCTTAAAGTATGTTATTATTCTTAAATGCAAACAAATATATCTTAGTGCATATTTTCTTTCCCATTTCTTCACCACCTATACAGGATAGATATTCCTGAGCTAGTCTATAATTGTCAACAGAGCCACAGGCCTCTGCAAGATCACATATATCTTAAAGCCACAAATACTAAAGTCCAAAGTGAGTTCTCCGTAACATATACTAAAGATCTGACAAAGAGAATCTTGAATTCCAGTAAACGGTGTGATCATCTCTTGCAAGTACTTGTAGCATCATTTATAGAGTAGAATTGTAAACACAGAACATTATGTGGTAGACTTATTTAATGTTAATGAACGTTTACACATATGAGTAGTTCTGCTCGAACTACATGGAGCTGCCCACTGGAATGAAATAAGTGTCTGTTTTGTGAACCTGTGAATGGCTCCATAGGTTAGCCTGTTGGTTTTAGTCTTTGTATTTCTGTGATTTTGCCAGTTACTTCTTCAGCTGCTCTACTGCTATGCCGTTGCCCTCTCTTTTCATTCCTGATTATTAATTTAAACTGGGTAGTTGGGAACAGGAGTGATGCCTTTCTGTTTATTTGCCTAGACTGTTTCAAATGTCAATGAAACAAATAATCATCATTACAGTTATTTTCTCTTTTGTCTGAATGTTTGGGAAAGAGCTCCATTTTTCCACATCTGTGATTTCTTTTGTTGCTTTTTCTCTGCAGTTAACGGGACCCATCCAAGTCCTTCATCAGGCACGAGCTTGTGTTGACCACAAGGGAGGGAAGAATGAGCTGACTGTCAAACAGGGGGATGAGATTGAAATCATTCGCCTCACAGACAACCCAGAAGGAAAGTGGCTGGGCAGGATAAAAGGATGTTGTGAGTTCTGTTTCTTCACTGTGCTCCTGAATGTTTTTACTGTATGACAGCAAACATGTGAGCATTACACCAAGGAGTAGCCTCACCAAGGCTGAGTCACTGGCCACCGAAGTAAATAATTACCACAACTCACCGTCCTGTCATTAGCTGGCATGCAAGGCTTAGTTCATAGTAACAAGTTATTGTACAACATAATGTAACATCTACAGGCCCTAGAATAAGTTAGGAACAATATGCCGGGATCTTCATGGACCTATTGAGAGGTAATTCCATGCCAGTCTTCAAATAGCACCAGAACTTGGCTCCGTGCAAGTAACAAGGATAGCATTTTTTCATGTTTTTGTATTAAAAATAACATGGGTGTTCCTAAAATAGAAGAGAGAATATAGGGTCCTGTTTTAAGTGTTTGTCTTGTTCCTATTCCTATGGAAACTTTCTAACTGATTTCTAGATTTTATTTTATGTCTGAAATCCAAGTTGTTTCTCTAATTCTATAAATATCATTAGTGGATCTATGAGTATGATAAGGAGTTGATGGTCTGGCTCCTGGGTTATAGCAAAGACATTAAAAGACTGATCTGTAAAATCAATGAAAATTATTAAAAGCACTTGCTTGATTTTTAAGGAGACTAAAATGACAATAAGTTCAGTAAAACAGTTCACACATGTAGAACTAGACAATACCAGCTGAGCACTTTGTAGTACTGGATGTAAAAAGACATTAAGGAACTGGAGCATGTCTCATACAAAGAGAGGCTGAGAGAGCTGGGACTGTTCAGCTTGGTGAAGGGAAGGCTCAGGGGGGGATCTTATAATTGTTCATAAATATCTGATGGGAGGGTGTAAAGAAGATGGAGCCAGGCTCTTCCCAGTGGTGCCCAGTGCAAGAGGCATCGGGCACAGACTGAAACACATTAAATTCTGTCTGAACATCAGGAAACACTTTTTTATTGTGAGGGTGACTGAGCAAGGGAACAGGTTGCCCAAAGAGGTGGTGGAGTCTCCATCCATGGAGATCTTCAAAACCTGACGGGGCATGGTCCTGGGCAACCTGCTCTAACAGATCCTGCTTGGCCAAGGGGATTGGCCAAGATGATCTAAAGAGGTAAGTTCCAATATCAGCTTTTCTGTGATACTTCGAAGTTTTGTAAATAAGTCTTTTGCATGGATCATTTTGTTCATAGGAAAACAAATCTTGGTGAGGGCTGGGAGAAGGGTATTTTCTTGAGCATGTGCAGTCAATTAATTAATTTACCTTTAATTAATTTACTTTTCACAAACCAATTCTTGCCTCAGCAAAACTGCAAGTTGTACAAGGCTTCTCACTGGCAAGTGCCAACGGTACAGCCCAATTTGTTTCACCAGTGCTTCAGCCTTCAATGTTCACAGGCCAGTAACGGTCTGTGAAGAAGACCAAACAACAGAGGAAAATCAGTTCTGATCATTTAAATAAAAGAAAAAAATCAGTGTGTTACAGCTTTAAGGGGAAGCACACTAAAAACTGGGTTCACTCAGAAGCAGCGGAGTGGGGGATTTTCCATTTTCAAGAAATGGCATGAGCATTTTTCACCTTTGAGAAAATCCATTCATGCTCTTTTCTGTACAGGCAGTACACCTGTCTAAAATTCCCCTCAGCAGAGACAGAGGTCCCAATCTCAGGCCAACTGCTCTGCTGCAAGTTTCTCCTAAGCCATTGCACCCAGGGGTATAACCAGATCATTTTAGCAAAGATCCAGGGACAAGAGGATAACAATGCAGCTGCAGCATGTTTACCAACCTGAAGCAAAACCAATGCAAACAAAGTGTCTCTCCCTCCTAATGACCTGTCAGAATCTTTATGTCATGGACTGCCCTAAAATACGCCACAAGACTGCAGTGGTCCCAAGATTAGCTAAGAAAGGGAGCTTGCCCCATGATTCCCAGAGACTGCACAGAAAATTCTTCTGCTGTAGCTGAGAAGCAAATAAAGATGAAGTTAACTTGACACCAGCTGAGGAGGGTTTGGGGGGAGATCTGAGACAGATCTGAGATTTGTATTTGTGTAGACAGATGGAGACTCAAGTTGAGGCTGCTTGGAATGAGACATTTCTTTGAAAGTTTTCAAAGATCATACAAAACAATTCACTCACAGATGCTGAATGTTTTGTTAAACTCATCTCTTTACCATGAGCTTTAAAACTATCTCTGCCTAATTACATGGTTTCATTCATTTAGATGGCTACATTAAAACAACCATGGTGGAGATTGATTATGATTCTTTAAGAAGAAAGCAACAACCATCTACCAGAGTTGCTGTGAAACATCCAGAGAGTGACCAAGAAGTGTATGATGATGTTGGAGAGCAGGACAGTATTAGCAGGTATGTATAAGGAATGCATGAAAAGGAACCAGTGATTCACCCCAGGCAGCCTAGACAGGGGAGGTTTTACAACAAAGCAGACTCTTGTCACAAAATAATAGCCATTTATATCAGAAACATCTAACTGAGCTATTCAAACTGAAGTAGTCAGAAGAACAAGAACGGATTCTGGAATCTAGGATCTATAAGCACTCATACTCAGGAGTAACCCATGCTATTGGAAGAGGACCTACTGCATTGCAGTCCAAAAGAGAACAAAATGCAAAACATGCAGGATTACAGATCACCTGCAGGAAGTGCAATCCTCTTCCCTCCCTCTCTTTTCTTGTTCTGTCTTTTGAAGTCACATACTGCCTTTTCTAACATGCAAGAATAAAAGATCCTAAAAACAATGGAAACACTCGCTGCACTGGGGAGCTCCTGATCACCTTCATTGCTCTCAAACTGAGTCTTACTACCTCTTTCCTTTTGAAGAGAAGAGACTTCTGGAAGCATGACTAGAATGGCCCTTCAGAATAGAGTGTGGCTGATGTGTTTAGTCCTGGAAATAAGGCCTGTAAAATCCCATGAGATGGGTATGAGCTATACTTTTTTTACTTCATCAGAAGCTTCTCCTCCATGGCACAGGCTCACATGTATTTGCAATGCAGTGCTACATTGCAGACTGTCTACTTCAATGTGCCATATTTTTCACGGCAAACAGATCTGCAGCTAGAGAAGTGCCATCTCCAGCAGGGTATCAAACTTGCTGGCAGGGAAATATGCTAGTGGTCTTGTGACAAAAGTCAAGGCTATCACATGACCCAACATGACGGTGGTACCGCTGTTACCTGACCTCACATAAAAGTCTGCTTCCGTCATGTGATGCAACAAACCAGTGCTCATTCTCCATTACATGTCCTGATGTGCAGAAACACATAACCCGGGATTCAAATAAGAGATCTGCATATGGGTGTGAAGGATTTCAATGTCTAGGACAACCATCTTGAAACACTCAGCCATTACACCTGCCTTTACTGCTTCCCAGCACATTAACCTAGAGGCCTGGCTGGAATAAAGGGACCGCAGCTGGCTGGCTGCTGGGTGCAGCTGATCCTCAGCTGCTAGAACATCCCCATGAGCTCCAGAAACAGCGCTTGGAAAGATCTGCCTTCAGGCTGGCATTCTTTAAGCAACTAATATAGTTTTGCATATGAAATTTTTCCAGATTGCTCAATATCAGTTTTCCTCCCTGCACATTGGTCTCATAGTATCGTAACCTAGCCAGAAGAGTTGCTTTAGTTGTTCTAGGTTTTAGGTAATCTGAGCATTAGGTACTTCGCTGCAGAAGTATCTTTGGCCAGTCCTTTTCACTATGGTAAGCATTACAATTACCCACCTCAATGCAAGGAATTTAGAAAATTTATTTAATTCAAAGGCAAACAAGAATACTTATACTGTTGTGTATTAAAATAACAGTGTAAGGAACTTGGAAGGATGAATGAATGGCTCAGATTTGTTAAATCCTTTAAGCTGTAGTTTGACATTTTTATCTTCTCTAGTGATTAATAGCATTCTGTTCAGTTCATGAGCATGAATTGTTGGAAGGTCTGACATACATCAACATGTTTTGAAACCACTGTAAGAATGCCATACTAAAAAAAGCCTCTTGACCAAATAGTAATATCTCATTATCGGTAGTATTGTTAATATTCCAAAAATAATAAGTGACTAGGGCTGTTGTATTTCAGGATTTCTTGGCACAAGAATTTAACAAGTATCTTGTTTTGATGTATAAGTTTAAGTAAGGCTCTGACCTGGAAATAATCTCAACTACTGTGAACCTATGAGGTTTTTTTTCAATTACTGTTAGAACACTGGGCTAATATGGGATCCTTGAAACGCTAGAAACATGCAGTTAGAGATTTAAAGCATCACCCAATGAAAGCTAGTTGAGCAATAAATTCATTTGTTTACCATTTCATCTCAAGAAAATCCCCTCATAAGGGATGAATCTAAAGGGTGTGGATGCACTCTCTAGTGTTCAGTCAGATTATATTTTTATTCCCACCAAGTTTGACTACATGACCTCCTGAGATCCCTTCCAACATGAATTATCCTATGATCCTAAGTCATATTTTGTACTTTAGTTTAATGATATCAACAGGAATATAAAATATATTCTAAATATAGTAAATCATTATAGCTATAGACATCAGTTTGCATTTCCTTGAAAATGACACTTTATTGGAAATTTCTAACACTTGCTAACAATTACTAACAATGAGGATCGAATGTTCTGCTTGTATGAAAATGTGCACCTTCATTGGCGTGAAACATCTGCATTGATTTATGCAAACAGAGAATTTGCTTCACAGCTATACTTATAAAATACTGTCCTTTATTTTTACATTAACTAAAGATGGTACTGATAACTCTGTCTCTTATAACCCTTTGAATTACTGTGAATGATATTTTAAAATACTCTTTTCTAATTTGTAATGAATTATTTCCAAGGAAAAAAAAAATAGAGTATTTTTTCCTGCTTTACCTGAACCTACTAAAAGTTAATCTCACCTCATCTAAGAGCTAGTTCACTTATGAATTAGTTGACACATTTTCTTTAGCATTAGTGAGAATGCAACTATTTGACTAAGAAATCAGTGTGAGTGTGGTGAAAACAAAAAAAACCAATGGGCACATTTAGTTGTTGCCCATATAGAACACACAAGCATGTGCCTGAGTTTCCAGTGCAGAATTTGTAGTGCTCAGCTGGCAATGTAGATGAGTGCCAAAGCCGAAAGGTGTAGAACTAATAACTACAAAAGTGATGGGTGATCATGGTGTTTGCTTTTTCCAAAGGATGACTGTTTTTCTCTAAAACATCTCTCATTTGCTTTTCCAGTCAGAGCGGTGGTCAAAGTGGAGCTGGAAGTAAGTTCTACATCTGCTTTTTGGGGAGAGTTGTTTCTATGTACTGTTTACCTTCAAATCCAGACCTCTGTGGCTTCCAAATAGTGTAGTAATTATGCATAAGCATGCTAAATGGTAGCTAACAGGCAACAAACAAGGAGGTATAGCGGCCAAATTAACTTTCTCTCCCCCTATGGGACTTGGGCAAGAAAGAAGTTTTGTCTTTAGATACCATGAATCAGAAGCATGCCAGAAGATGACAAAACCTTTCTTTTTTGTGTGTGAAGGTAAATCATCCTACAAAACAGCACAGACATAATTGGCAATATACTAACATGACCAAGAGGTTTTGTGCAGGAGAAATCCAGTTCTGAATAGCCAGTAATACTACCAATTACTGCATTTTGCTGACAGAGTTAAGGGGAACATCAGTTTCAGCAATACTCTGGAGTCCTAACCAGTATGACTGCAGCAGTTTCACACTGTCAAGAACATATACATTCAAACCTAGTTTCCCCTTTGGTAGCACATATATTTATGTAGCATTCTCTGTTGATCACAAGAGCACAGCTCATCTTCTCAGCTTAGAGTTTAGATACTAGTCATGGCAGAAGCATCTCCTGGCAGGGCTGAATGAAGCTGCTGCCAGCTAAGTACAGATTTCAGTGATCACTCTGACCAGTGGCTAGGATTGGACATGGAAACTGAGCTAACCCTGCACTGAAGGAGATGGGGCTCAAAGGTCAGAACTGAGACCAAAATGGGGAGCTTACATGGCACTTGCCTCTGGCTTCTGTGGATGAACACAAGATGTCGCTTGCTGAGAGTGTTGGTCTGACATCTTCAATCATCACTCGAGTCACACACAAAAATTAAAAAGTCATTATAATGACTGGGCCAAAATCAGCCATTTAGAATTTCACTGAATACACTGAAAATGCATTTGTTTTCAGTATTCATGCTCTTGTGATTGGCAGTGCCACATTTAAATGCTGTGGATGGCATTCCCAACTGAGGTAAGTCTAAATCACTGTTTTAATAAAAAGGCTGTGCTGGTTTACAGAAAGATTCCATTTGCAAGGATATTGTGCAAACTACACACACATCTGACATACTTAAGAGGCCAGTAATGAATACCCTATTCAGCAGCATTAAATATAAATGCAGTAATTCACTGTTTGATCTGTTAAAGATATGTTCCCACCTCCTCCTTCTGATCAAGAGATTTATGATGGGATTGATGATGAAGATGCTGTAACTAGGTAAGTTTTTACATCTTTTAAATAATTTGCTTCTTTAACAGAGTGTTTTCATTTCAGTTTTTAGTATTTTTGAATTAGGCATAATAATTAGCAAGTATTGGGATGATCAGCAAGTGAGTATACATCAGGATGGGTTCATGAAGCTAAAAAAAAGAGTTCTTTGGTCTTTTGGAGAAGTTTTGTTTTGTAATTAATTTTGGTATGTCAGCAAAAGCAGCTGCAATCATGAAAATCCCCAAATCCCCAATTAGACAGAATAGCTCTGAAATGAAAATAACAAACTGAATGTTACCTTGCTGAGTAATATGAAAGCAGTAAGCCACTAGATTAATATCTGTACCTACAAATATATCTCAATATCTACAAATGACCTAACATACATATTTCTAGTTTAGCATTTTAGTATTTAGCATTTAGGTAACTGTCTGCACCTTGTGGTATATACATTGTTGGCATTAATGAGAATTATGTGCATCAATGGAGAATTTAAACTGGACCTTTTAAAAAGAATGTTACATTTTACATTGTGATAATTGCATGCATACTCCAAAGGTCTGTATCGCAGGATGAAGATAAGAATGGTATCTGGTCCTGGGGAATCTTGAAGAGGCTAAAGGTCAAAGATGACAAAAAGAAAAGTATACGAGAAAAAACAACCAAAGTCAATGGGGCAGAAGATAATGGAGACTTGTTGTAAGAGTCTGCCAGGAAATCTCAGTGGACATTAACTAATTCTAATAAAGCATTGATCACATGCTACTAACATCTTCTCACAGCAGCCTAATAAATCATGCATCAAATTGCACCTCAGGATGATACTTTTCTGCAAAAACACTGACCTCCTTTCTTTTCATCTGCATAATATAATTACTCTCTTAACAAGCTGTATTTGTTGCCTAAGTCTCGTAATTAAAATATACCAAAAAATTTTTTTGGTGAAGAGCACCAAAATAATCCATCATCTTTGTGCCACTCTGGTGATGTAAGTTTGCTGTATCCTCAGTTAAAATGTACTTTGCTCATTAGTGCAATGTAGCCAAGATAAACTGGTAAATCCATTCCCGTTAATCCAAATTTTAGGAATAATATGCCAAACAGAAAAATGCAAAGATTGTCTTCTACCCATCTTGCCTAGAGGTTAGGTCAGCAACTGATGTTTTTACCACCATCTTGTTTCATTCAGTTCCGAACCAATTTACTTTGATTCAGTGGTAAAAATACATTTAGTCCATGAGTACTGCTGGTAACAGCTAAGCTTCAAAATGTCTGGAGATTACTTGGAGCCCTTGTGTTGCAAGTTTTTAAAATTATTTAAATGATGCAAAAGCCTATTAATGTGATATAAATACTTAATGAGCATCTTTTTTTTTTCCAGCATATCTCCTTCAACAAAGCAGTTTGGAAAAGGTAATTAATAGCCTATTGTTCAGTCTCCATATTGATTCCTGATCCTTTTTTCTGTATACATTACTCGTATCATGCTAGTCACAAAAATACATCCAAGGAAGGAAACAGGATTTCCCATTGCTTACCCAGTTCCAGCAAACAAATTTCAAATATTGTGACTGATTTGGCTACAGACAAGGAGATACAAATGCATTGCAAGCTCGCTAGAAGACAATTTAAAGTATTTTTTAAGAAGTCGTGATTTTTCTATGTGAGATTTCCACTAGTTCATTTTGTTTGACATGAAGTATGAACAGATACACTTGGAAAGAAACAATGCAAGACTTCAAAAGTAAAAAGAGATGCTTGTTGTTATTTTTATCACTTGCAGTGTCTTTGTAAGATAACATATATTCATAAATATCAGCTCAGCCATGGAATAAAAAGCAAGTTCTTACAATTTTTGAGGCTGTTACCTGAACTGAGTTCTAAACCTTTCATCTCCTACTGTGATTTTTCTAGCCATTGATTTGATGAGTTGAACAATTGCTTCCTCTCCACAAATATGCTGAATGCGATTCAAAGTATATTCTTGGGGTAAGAATTCTTTTCACTGCTTTGGCATTGCGAGATGGCTTAAAAACTAACATACATGTGATTCATATCCACTTCTAAGCAACATTGCATTGACCAGAGTGCTATAGGAGTGCCTGAGTGTACATTAACATCAAACCCCAAAAATATACTTTGATGCAACACAGTGGGAAATGGACTAATTAAAATGAAGATTAAAGGCTATTGCATTAGCCAACATGTACTAAAACTTGCTCCAGCTTAAGAAGATTAAAATATCAGTGAATACCTAGTATTATTAATAAAGAGTCTTATTCTGAAAAGGTTGGCTGGTGTTTGTTTTGCACAGTACATTGTGCAAAACAGAGAACCCACAGTTACTATAGATGATAAATGGCAACAGTACTTGCCACAATTTCATGTCAACTTAGCTACACTACCATAGATTGTAACACAATGTGTTCACTACTCAAGGATCTCATAATAATTTTCCATTCTTTTAAACACTATTGTTTCAGATTGTGGAGACAATGATGTTTATGATGACGTAGATTCTTCAGACTTCCCTCATCCACCGCCTGAATTCAAGCAAGTGAAAATGGGAATTACTTCCCTGATTAGAAATCTGTAATACACTGTGAAACATTTTCAAAGTATTTACCAGAGGCAGACTGCTATTAATGTATGCTTTATTTGGTGTTGTCAGGTTTTGTAGCTCTCCTAACCCTACTGTTGACAATGGCAGTTGAATGCTCCCTGCCTCCAATTCAGATTGAAATAATAATTAGGCTATAGAATAAATAATCGTGCTTTGAATTTCAGCAAATTCAGTCCCTGATGGACAAGAGGTAGAAATGAATGCATGGCCTAAAGGTACTTAATTGTAAATTCTCTGCATGCAGTCCTCTTCCTATCAAAATTTGGGGACTGTTAGGATAAGTACTTGATCCCAGCTGCAGTAGTATTTTAAGAGAAAAGGAGATAGTGCCCTGTGTTATAAGTATGAAACACATCTGAAGGTGTAAAGTTCAAGTTGGAACACATTTATCCCCAGACCAGGAAGTTATAGCCATCTCTGGAGCACAGATGTGTTATGAGCACAGATGCATCTGTGAAGATGACTGCAACATGTCACATTCTGTTGTCACTAACTCCACTCAGGTGGAGCTACAGCGTGCACTACAATAATCTAGTTTGGAGGCATTAAAACAGAGAGAACTGCATATCCAAAGGAAAAGATGTGGTCCTCCTAACCAAATCTAAGTTAGTTCACCACACACATATATTCATCATCAGTGAAACTGTCATTCACAACTCCTACAGAGATCAGGAAGGATCGAAAAGTAGAGTCAGACTTCAAATTCCCAGGTACAGTATCAGGAAGGGCACTTAAGGCATGAAACCCTTCTGTGCTCATTGGCACAAATCAACAGTATCAGCGATGTGGAAAACCAACAGAACTTGAAATAGGTCCTGTAATGCAGATGCCCTGGTGTAGCAAGGTCTTCTGTGGGAACACAGGACTAACACAGCTGCTGTACAAAAGGCTAAAATGTTTCAGCTGCCTCCACAGTGGGACATGTTTTATTCAGCCTATTGCCCAACGATACCTAGACTTCACAAAAATTGCTCCTTGCCTAGAGATCCTAAAGTGATGGGTACCATCTACCTAAACTATTTTTAGCAGATATGAAGTTCTCATTGCTGTAGCAGCTAGATACTTCGAATAATTTTCCATATTAACTTATGTGATAGATATATTAACATCAGAACTCATTAAAAGAGAAAAGTAGGAAAGACAACCTCAACTTTTTATTTCTTTGGAAATGAAATCTGTATTGTATTATCCATGTTAGTTTTGTAGAGCAACAAAAACATACTAAAGACACATGAAGGCAAATGCATTTTCACTAAAATTATCAGAAATGTTGTCAATACCTCAGACGTGTTGCTAATTTTCTTTTTATTTTTAACCTCATTTTAGTTCATCAAAATCAGCAAGCCTTGGAAAACGTAAATCAGATGAAAAAGATGCACAAAAGCTTAAAAAGATGGAAAAAGAAGAGAAAGAGTTCAGAAAAAAATTCAAAGTAAGTTTTGTCCAAAGTAAGATTTGTTCACATAAAATACAAAGATTAAAATATCTGGATGGTGTCCTCTAATTTGTATCCCCTAATTTGTAAATAATCCATTATTTTTCCCTTGAAAGTTAAAGTATTACTACTTGTAAAAATAGTGATCTGAGCATTTGTAAGTCCAAATGGCAAGCACGTGCATACTACATAGCATAAGCAATTATTTGCCTAATTCTCAAAAATTTAGTAATAAATGGGAATAGATTGTTCTAAAAAAATGCATGATCATAAGCTTTACATTGATGGTTTTTAACCAGCATCTTTTTATTTTATTTTTGCAGTTTGAAGGTGAAATTAAAGTTCTTTACTCTACCACCACAATCCAGGATTTGCCCCAGAGTGGATGGGGACCTAAAGACTTACAAGTTAAACCAGGGGAGTCTCTTGAAATTATAGAAAGTACAGATGATACCAAGGTCCTGTGCAGGAATGAAGAAGGAAAATGTAAGTTTTATTAAAAAGCTGTAGTATAAATCAAATTGTCAGAGAATGATTAAGTCAGGATGTGTAAAAAACCCTCTACCCTGTCATATTAAAGCAGAGCCTAACTGTTAGTTTATCACTATTTTGTAAGAGCAGCTTGCCTTAAAAAATTAAAACTCCAATAGACAAGAGATACCAAATGTGAGAAAAAGGACAGCTTAGTTATGTAAATCTTGCTTTGCATCAACTAAGATTAGCAGATGGTTTTGTTGCTTCTGTCTCCATTTGCCGAAAGGAGTATAGCTATGATACCCCACAGAATCTAGTAAAAGTAAAATCCTTGCTGCACCTCTGGTAAGCACTTGCCCATTGACTGCAGCCAAGGGAACATCAATAACAATATTCTTACTTCGGATTGCCAGAGATGGAGTTTAATCTTTTCAACAGGCATGGGGGGGGACTGTTTAGGAGTCTTCCCCCCAGCCCACAGCTGATCCAAGGCGTATGTCCTCATTGGCATGCCTGCTTGTTTTGGGAGCTGTGTGAGGCCTTTCAGTGTTTCTTTGAAACCCTTGGCCAGGGTGTGCATTGGCAGTTTTTGCATTTTTGGAGAAGTCTGGACCATCTACTGTTGGTTTTGATTTCTTAACATGCTTCTGTTACAATACTTTTCAAACCTCCTAATGAAAATTCAGTTTGTGTAGGAACAGACTACGTTCAAAGTAGCAGCATCCTTCCACTCATGTTTACTTTTTACCTCTGACCTATGTGGAAGACAGTCCAATGCCATAAACCTCTGAAGGGGATTCAGTCACTTTCCTTCTGTTTCTTTCCCTCTGTACTCAACTGTTACAGACTGGAGTATAGCCTTCTTCCTGGCAGGCCTGCAGGGTGAGGAAGAATTTCTTGCATAACAACATGTATGTTTTTCAAAATATGGATTGCACTAGTGTAGCCACTTCCCAAAGAGCAGCTTTCAATGATGCATTTTTTGAATCCAGCTAATAACAAAGTAGAAAGTAGTTCATGTTGGCTGTTTTCCTCACATAGTCTTCAAAGCCTTTCAAATAGTGACAGGAGCTACTGCTTTCCTATGCATGAAAGAGCAAAACAAACAAAAATATCCTCCCTGAAAACCTCTGAATAGATCTCTGTCAATTTTCACATTAATTAGTGAAGTTTGAATCCTACTTTAGTTAAGTGCATGACAGTTTATGTTATTTGCTCTAGTTGCTCTAGTTCCTCATATCTTGAAGCTATGATACTACCTTTTGAAGGCCAGAGAGACTGAAAATCAACAATTAAAGATGTTTTTGTTACTTTCTTGCACATGAATTCTTCCATTTGATCGTTAACTTATGAAGCACTTCCACAGCTTCATGCCTCTACCAGCAGTTAAACAAAATTACAAATTATATTGTAATGTCTTCCCACCTTTTTAAGCAAGGGCTGATGGCCTTAGGAACATATTCTGCTATCACTTATGTTAATTGTTATGAAATGATTTGAAATTTCAAAAGTGAAACAAGGAACTGATTCTTATTTACCTGCTCAGATTCCTTCTTCCTGCTGCCATGGTCTGACCCACGTACCTTTTGAAATACACAAAAACCTTTGATTCACTTTCATATGTTTTGCTTAAACATTAGGACATAAAAGTTGGACTTCAGTGCCTGAAAATGTAGGCTGTGTCCTCTCCAAGCTTCCTTGTCAGAGAGCAGCTGGCCTGATGTGTCATAGCTTTCAGTGGTGCTAAGTAAACAAGATGGAGTGTGCTGACCTGCTGCCTTGTTCCCTATTATGGAAGCCACGTAAATACGACTAAATCAGTTAGAAACTGAAACTTAGGACATG